GTACCCATTATCCAGCTTCAACAACTACCAACTCATGGTCAATCATCTTTCCTCTATACCTGCTATTTCTTAGAATTAAATACATAAATGCGAATGCCTTGGTGTATTTGTAAGACATTATAAAAAAGAAAAGAAAAGAAATGTGAATGCTAGGCCTCTCTCACTGTCTTTAAAACACCTGGGTGGGTGGCGGTGGGCAGAGTAGAGAGAAGGAGCATTTTTCTAGAGGTTGGAACCTTTTGTAGAACAATTTCCTGTAATGGGAAAAATTGAGAAGTGTAAGAGGAAGGAATAATGATTATCTTGTGCCAGGCGTTGTGCATTGGTATTGAATTTCACCTTTCTGGGAGTTACAGGTATGACAGACCCATTTTAAAGATAAGGCTCAGGGATGCCGAGTGCTGTATCTTCAGCGAAGCTGGGATTGGAACCCAGCTGTGTGTGGCTTCACGGTCTGTGTTCTCCACCCTCTTATAGGACGACCCTGCAATGCGTATCAAACCAAATCCACCCGTGGTCTGAGGCTCTCCCTCCCGCTCCTGTACCTAAATCCAGCTTCATTCACAGGGCCCTGGGGAACAAGCCCCGAGGGTTACTCCAACCTTTTGGAGAAGGAAGGGTTTCCAGGCCCAGAGTGTCAAAAGGGGAATTCAGTTTCTTATTAAAAAGAGTTCATTTCCTCCTGTTCCATGTCCTAAGAAAATGACTGCTTGGAGTCCCAAAGAATTTGCAAGTAAATTTGTAGGCGAATGCGTGGCGGCTCTTGCCTGTAATCTCAACACTTTGGGAGGCTGAGGCAGGAGGATTGTTTTTGTCAAGGAGTTTGAGACCAGCCTGAAAAACACAGCAAGACCTGTCTTTACAAACACACACACACACACAGGCACGCACACGCACACACACACATATTAGCTGGGCATGGTGACACACACCTGTGGTCCCAGCTACTTGGGAGGCTGAGGTGGGAGAATTGCTCGAGCCCAGGAGTTTGAGGCCGCAGTGAGCCATGATCATGCCACTGCATTCACCCTGGGTGAAAGAGTGAGACTGTGCCCCAAAATAAATAAATAAATTGTAAAGAGTTAAACAATAAAACATACATACACTGGTTAGGATAAGCCATTTGTGGGAAAAATCTAAGAGATTATGTGTTTAAGTGTGTTCTTGAATAGATTAGACTGGATTTGATTGCAACTCTAAGGGAGTAAACCAAGCCCCGATTACTTTTAGGGGAAGGTGACCCAGTTCTAAGAGAAGGAAGCTGACCAGCCATGGCTGCTTGGGGCAAATGTTGGCAAGGTCTGTCCATTCAGTGTCTAGCCAGGAAGAAAGCTTGGCAAGCAGACTTGAGCAAAGAGGTTTGCTGGGCAAAGCAACCCCTCTAGTGGGTAAGAGCTCTTTGAGCTGAGAGATATGTCTTCTGTCCAGACTTTGCTCCAATTCCTTGCTCACTCTTCTGGATAATTTGGCTTCTTGGGTATTGGTTTTTCAGCAGGGAAAGAACAAGGTGCCCTGGCTCGTATGAACTTCCAGTACTCTCAAAAGTTGATTTTCTCATTATAAATGAATAAATTGGCTTTCTGGTTATAACTTGGCTTCTCCAGTAATTTGCCTCCAGGGAGGGCATGGACTGATCTCCCTACTAAAGTGTGCTGTCTGCTTGCCAGCTTAACTTCTCTCTGTAAGTGAATAAATGGGCCTCCTGTAGTTTGTATACCAACCTCTCAGGGGTGCCTGGTTAATGCCTGGTTTCCTGGGGAAGAAGGACCAGGTGAGAAGTGCCAATAAACAGGTCTCCTGGCTTGCAAAAGAGCAGACCCCATAGGTGGAGAATTCAACAAGGCAATGAATGTGGTCTCCTGGAGTCTCTTGGGAAAGAGCTGGTGTCTGAACCACAGTGACACGTGGCCTTAACACGAGGAACTGAATCTTCATGTCCCAAAGGAAGCAAGTTTGGATCCTTTCACCCCCAAGCAGGTTATTCCAGCTCATTGAGGAGCATTCCTACTTTATTCCCATTGGCATGAAACAAAGAGGTTCTCAGAAGCAAAACTTTGCCATGTCGCTCCTTCCCTTAAAATCCTTTGACAGCCCTTTTATTACTTAGAGTATAAAGTCCAAACTCCTTGGCAAGACTTGCCTTTATGACAGGAAAAATAAAAAATTATTGCTACATGATTTCATCAAATCAAATCCCCTTATGACTGCAAGGTGTTTTATTATTTGAAGTACTAAATAATACTGTCAGTGAAACTATGAGATCCCATTGATCATAAAACACATCCAATTTCAGATAGACCAAAATGTGGAAAATACTCGAGTCTGAAAGTTGCTAAAATATGGTATTTAAAATGAAAGTTGAGAGTTGTAATTTTTCCCTTTTAGGGGAGAGATACAATTCATTTTAAAGAGAAATAATTCTGGCCAGATGTGGTGGCTCACACCTGTAATCCCCGCACTTTGGGAGGCCAAGGTGAGCAGATAACTTGAGGTCAGGAGTTTGAGACCAGCCTGACTAACATGGCAAAACCCCATCTCTACTGAAAATACAAAAATTAGCCTGGCATGGTGGTGCGCACCTGTAATCCCAGCTACTCAGGAGGCTAAGGCAGGAGAATCGCTTGAACCTGGGAGGTGGAGGTTACGGTGAGCCGAGATCGCACCACTGCACTCCAGTCTAGGCGACCGAGCAAGACTCCATCTCAAATAATAATAGTAACAATTCTGTTATTTAGGAAAACACTGTTATGAATTTTATATTTTTGAGACGGTCTGGCCTGTATGCTTAGGCTTAGATAAAAGAACAAGTGAGAGAGACAGAGAGAAACAGAGAGGGAGGGGAATTACTCTATAGCGTAAGGAACTAGAGGTTTCCTTGCTGCCGGAACAGTGGGGATAGGGAGATACGAGCAAGGTCTAGATTCAGAGCAGTATTCTCTAGAATCACCTAGGAGTGTTCAAATGCATGCCCATCTGGCCCCACTTTCACAAATTCAGACTAAAATGATTTGAGATGAGTACTGGGAATTGGTCTTTTTAAAAACGCCTAGGAGATTGGAACTGGTGAGACAGAGGAGGTGGCAGTCACAGGTGCTTAAGGAGATCAAGTTGGCTGGTAAGAACCTTCCCATAGTGGAGGTGGCCTGCGCAAGCTGGGGCCGCCAAGGAAGTGAGAGCCTTTGGCTCTCTCACGCCCGCAGTGTGAGCTGGCCATCCCAGCACTTGTCTGTGAGTGGTGTTTTGGGGAAAGGAGGAAAGCGAGTTGCTGCCCAGAAAGGAAGATGCAGAAGACAGACTTCAGGGACCAACTGCAGCGGGCGGAGCCGAGAGCGGCGAGCGGCAGAGGCCCAGGGCCACAGCTCCCAGTGCTGGGAGAGTACCACCTTGCCCTACTGGGGTTAGGTCCTGGGAGAACCACAGCAAATCCTCAGGGACACTGGGCTTCCCACTGTTGGTGGCATGGCTGTTTCAGCTTTTCCATTTGAATATTGAACGAGAGGATCATGCCTGAGAGCTTGAGGAACTGGGGACATTCAGAACCAACACTGGTTTTGTCACGTGTTTGATGATCTGGTTCCTGCCCACGTATCCCACCCCCTCCACACCTATGATCTCACCCTCACCTCCATCCTGGGCTGCTTGAAATACCTATTCACCCTTAAAGACTCAGCCCAAGGTTTACCTGCTCTGAGAAACCTTTTCTTCCCCTCGCCTGTCCTTCACCTCCACTGGAGTGGACGATTTCCTCCTGCTGCTCCGGTGGATCACCTGCAGGCTTCTCAGCATGCCTCCGTTCTGGGTTGAATTGTGTTTCCCCTAAAAGATAAGCTGGCATCGTAACCCCTGGTGCCTTATGTGACCTTATCTGGAGATAAGGTCCTTATAAATGTTACTGAGTTAACATGAGGACCTGAGGACATGAGGGTGAGCTCTGATCCCTAGGACTGGGGGGGTCCCTAGGTCCTTACACAAAGAGAAGAATTTGGACGCAGAGAGGGAAATGCACAGAGAGTAGGCCATGTGAAGATTAGAGTTGATGTTGCCACAAGCCAAGGAGCTCTCACTGTAAAGAGGCCTGGAACACATCCCTGCCCAGCTCTGCCAAAGGGGAGGAATACACCAAGAGAATCATTAACAGGGGAACCTGGCTAATTCCAGATAGCCTCTCAAGGCAAGTGACATTTGAGGTGAGCAGAGAGGAAGAGCCCTGCTGACACCTTGGTTTTGAAATTCTCGCCTGCAGAACTGTGAGATGGTAAAATTCTGTGGTTTTAAGCCACTCACTTTGTGGTACTCCGTTATGGCAGGCCTAGCGAATTTGTACGGACTCTGACACGTCAGTGACTTCATGTTTTTAGGTCTGTTACCCCCAATAAACTATAAGGCCCTCAAAAGCAGCGACTGCCTTACTCACCTTTGCACTTCATCTAACAACACCTAAATGTTTGTTGAATGAATCAGCGATTACAGTTCATCTCGTTTCCTGAATCTACTCTCAGAAACGTCACATGGTGCTAGAAAATGCCAGGTGCTTAGTTGGCTGCTGTTACCAGCTCTGCTGCCATCTGTCCATGACTGTCATCAATAACCACAGCAATGACAATGACCCTAGTTTTAGCTAGCATTCAGTGGGCATCAAACTGTGTGAGAGGCTGGGTGTGGTGGCTCACGCCTGTAATCGCAGCACTTTGGGAGGCCGAGGCAGGCGAATCACAAGGTCAAGAGTTCAAGACCAGCTTGACCAATATGTTGAAACCCCATCTCTACTAAAAATACAAAAATCAGCTGAGTGGTGGGGCACACCTGTAGTCCCAGCCAATTGGGAGTCTGAGGCTGGAGAATTGCTTGAACCTGGAAGGTGAAGGTTGCAGTGAGCCAAGATCGTGCCACTGCACTCCAACCTGAGCGACAAGAGCAAGACCCCATTTCAAAAAAAAAAAAAAAACCAAAAAATTATGAGAATACATTGATTCAGTCAGTCACTCAAAAAACATTGAGTGGTGCTTGCTTTGGCAGCATATATACTAAAATTGGAATGATACAGAGAAGATTAGCATGGCCCCCACGCAAGGATGACACCCAAATTTGCGAACTGTTTTATGTTTTTTAAGACTCGTGCACAAATGTCACAAGCAGCTTTATCTGAAATCTCAAAAACCTGCAAACAACTCAAACATCTAACAACAGGTTAGTGAACAAACCAGTTGTGGTATATTGGCATATCTGTGCAGTGGAATAATTCTTAGCAATGAAAAGTAATGAATTGTCCATACAGGCATCAACGAAGATGAACCTTAAAATAATTATGAATGAAATTAGCTAAAAAACAAGTTCATATTATATGATTCCATTTATATAAAAATCTAGAAAATGCAAGCTAATATATAATGACAGGAACAAATCAATCATTGCCTAAAAATGGGGAGAAGCAGAGGGACAGGAGACAGGGGTCACCAAGGGGCATAAGGAAACTCATAGGGGTGGTGGATACATTCAATATCTTGATTCTGGTGATGGTTTCAAATTGTACACTTTAAATATTTTCAGTTTATTATGCGTCAGTTATCTTCAATAAAGCTATTATTTAAAAAAAAAAAAAACCATTGAGTGACTCACATGGGTCAAGTTCTGTGCTAGGAACTGAGGATAGAGCGCTAATCAGGACCTGCCTGGTCCCAGCCTTCATGGAGTTTATAAACTCCATGGGTCAAGTAGTTACATAATTACTATGGTGGTAAATACTAAAAGGAGAAGAAGAGTACAACAAGAGAATAATTAATGGGGAAGCTGGGCACCCCAGAAAGCTTCTCAGGAAATGTGATGTTTGAGCTGAGCAGATAGGGATTTGTAGAAATAAGTGAGGCAAAAAGGTAAGTGAGCATGTTCCCAGTAGAGGACACAGCATGTGTGAAGCCTGTTGATTCAACAATTATCAGCCAGGCGCAGTGGCTCACACCTGTAATCCCAGTACTTTGGGAGGCTGAGGCATGTGGATCACCTGAGGTTGGGAGTCCAAGATCAGCCTAACCAACATGGAGAAACCCTGTCTCTACTAAAAATACAAAATTAGCCGGGCATGGTGGTATATGCCTGTAATCTCAGTTACTTGGGAGCCTGAGGCAGGGAAGTCGCTTGAACCCAGGAGGTGGAGATCATGGTGAGCCGAGATTGTGTCATTGCACTCCAGCCAGCCTGGGCAGCAAGAGTGAAACTCCATCTCAAAAAAAAATAAATAAATAAAATAAATAAACAATTATCTACTGAGACCTTATATGGGATAGGCACTTGTTCTAGGTCCTGCATACAGCAGAAAACAATTAATAAAGATCTCAGCTGTTGTGGGCTGGTGTGGTGGCTCATGCCTATAATCCTAGCACCTTGGGAGGCCGAGGCGGGTGGATTGCCTGAGCTCAGGAGTTCATGACCAGCCTGGGGAACATGGTGATACCCCGTCTCTACTAAAAATACAAAAAACTAGCCAGGCATGGTGGCATACGCTTGTAATCCCACCTACTTGGGAGGCTGAGACAGGAGAATCCCCTGAACCTGGAGGCAGAGGTTGCAGTGAGCCAAGATCGCACCATTGCACTCCAGTCTGGGTGACAGAGCAAGACTCCACCTGAAAAAAAAAAAAAAAAAAAAAAAAAAGATCTCAGCTGTTGTGAAGGTCACCTTCCAGAAGCCAGATGGAGGTGAGCAGGAAGAACTGGGGAAATAAGAAAGTGTGGCAGGTGTTTTCCAGGATATGAAATTGAAAAGGCCTGACCCACTGAATCTCTCTCTCTCTTTTTTTTTTTTTTTTTTTTTTCTGAGACGGAGTTCGCTCTTTCATGGAGGCTGGAGTGTAATGGCGTGATCTTGGCTCACTGCAACCTCCGCCTCCTGGATTCAAGTGATTCTCCTCTCTCAGCCTCCTGAGTAGATTACAGTTGTGCACCACCACACCTGGCTAATTTTTGTATTTTTAGAAGAGACGGGGTTTTAGCATTTTGGCAAGGCTGGTCTCGAACTCCTGATCTCAAGTGATCTATCCACCTCGGCCTCCCAAAGTGCTGGCATTACAGACATGAGCCACAGTGCCTGGCCTCACTGAATCTGCCTTTCATACCTAGAACAGTGCCTGGCATACTGCAAGAGCTTAATAAATTATTTGCTGCAAATGAAGGAGAGTCACTGGGTGGGGTGGGATTGAGGTGTGTGTGGTGATTCTGATACAACCTAAGTTAACTGCCACTAACTAAAAAGTACTTTAGAGCTCTCAGAGGCTTTTAACATTCGCAGCCCTACTTTTCACTGCTGTTAAATGGTGTAGTTGGTCTCAATAATCCTAAAAACTCTTCTGGTAATAAAATGTTCTCAGCCAGTGAGTGGTCCAGTTTTAAGGCCAGCTTCACAGCTCTTGGCATTCTTAACCCAAGCCAGATTGTATGGTTCTTAAGTGGCAGGATTGACTGTGCTGAGGAGCCTCGGAAGGAGGAGACCGTGTCCTTCCCGTCCTGGTGGTTGCCTCCCTTGCTTAGGTTATCATGACCTCCAGTCTGGGCTAATAAATGAGGAGAGAGCCACAGTTCCACTTCTAAGGTTTAGGAAAACATTTTGATGGACTTTTGGTCGATAGAGGCAGATTCCATCTCCTTCTCTCTCTCTCTCTTTTTTTTAAAGACAGTGTCTTGCTCTGTCACCCAGGCAAAAGTGCAGTGGCACGATCTTTGCTCACTGCAGCCTCAACCTCCAAGGTCAAGCGATTCTCTCACTTCACTGAGTAGCTGGAACGACAGGTGCACACCATCATGCCCAGCAAATTTTTGTATGTTTCACAGAGACATGGTCTTGCTATGTTGCCCAGGCTGATCTTGAACTCCTGAGCACAAGTGATCCACCTGCCTTGACCTCTTGAAGCGTTGGGATTATAGAAATGAGCCACCACCCCCCCAACATTTTAAAAAAATTTTATTTTATTTTTTGAGATGAAGTCTTACTCTGTCACTCAGGCTGGAGTGCAGTGGCGTGATCTTGGCTCACCAAACCTCTGCTCCCCAGGTTCAAGTGATTCTCTTGCCTCAGCTTTCCAAGTAGCTAGGATTAGAGGCATGCGCCACCACACCCAGCTAATTTTTACATTTTTAGTAGAGACAGGGTTTCACCACGTTGGCTGGGCTGGTCTCAAACCCCTGACCTCAAGTGATCCACCCGCCTCGGCCTCCCAAAGTGCTGGGATTACAGGCATGAGCCAGTGTGCCCAGCTCACATATATATATTTAAACAATAAAATGTTCATTGTAGAAAATAATATAAAATACACAAAATCAAATGAAAAATGAAAATCATCCATAATCTCACCAACCAGAAATAACTAGTGTTTATATTTGTGTGTATTTCCTGCAGGCTTTATCTCTGTAGATATACCTGGTATGGGTATGCATATTTATGTTTATAAAAATGAGATTGGGCTGGGCGCGGTGGCTCAAGCCTGTAATCCCAGCACTTTGGGAGGCCGAGGCGGGTGGATCACGAGGTTGAGAGATCGAGACCATCCTGGTCAACATGGTGAAACCCCGTCTCTACTAAAAATACAAAAAAGTAGCTGGGCATGGTGGTGCATGCCTGTAATCCCAACTACTCAAGAGGCTGAGGCAGGAGAATTGCCTGAACCCAGGAGGCGGAGGTTGCAGTGAACCGAGATCGCGCCATTGCACTCCAGCCTGGGTAACAAGAGTGAAACTCCGTCTCAAAAAAAAAAAAAAAAAAAAGATTGTATAATATATATCAAATTGCAATGACTTAAATAAGCTTCAAATTTTATTATAAGCATCTTTCTGTGTCAATAGATCTTCGTTAACATCACTATTTTAAATTCTGACCTGGCCTGATATTACAGCCTTCTGTATTCTCTAATTTCTCCCCAGTCTATGGCCAAATTAGTCCTCCTGAAGCATAACATGGATCACGTTACTCTCCTGTTGAAACCCTTTCAAATGTTTTCCACTCCCCATTTTTTATAGATAAAGTCCAAATTACTCGACCAGGTTGGGTGCAGTGGCTCACTCCTATAATCCCAGCACTTAGGTCAGCCAAGGTGGGAGGATCACTTGAGCTCAGGAGTTTGAGATCAGCTTGGGCAACATAGTGAGACCCCTTCTCTATTTAAAACAAAACAAAATCAAACAAATAACTTCGCCTGAAATTCTAGACCCTCCATGATACAACTCTGCCCTAACCTCCTTTTCCATGTTATCTTCCATAACTTTCCCAGCTGTATCCGATGCTCTAGGGAAAGCCTGATGTTTCCCAAGGACCTTGACACCTTTTCCCACCTCTGCTCAAGGGTCTCTTCCATTTAGAATGCTGTCTCCTGCTACTCCCCAGCTACAGGAATCCCAGGCCACCTCGTAGGCCTTGCTCAGATACCACCTTCTTCAGAATAGTCTTGTTTCTCTCCAGTAAGTACCCTAGGAACAGAGGCAAGTTTATTTTATATATATATATATGAGAAATATATATATATATAAAATAAACATATATACAAGGTAGGTATATATATAAAAGAGAAATATATATATTTACATACCTAGATATATATATTTATAAATAAATAAATATATTTATAAATAAATATATTTATATATATTTATAAATATATATATATTTACAAGAGAAAAGATAATTTGCCACATTGCCGTCATTGCTTAAGACATGCATTGTTCTTTGGTTGCACACACACATACACGTCATATTACACATGTTACAATAAATTGTGCAAAGGAGGAGGCATTATGGGTAGACTTAGAATTTAGGACTTCACTCCCACTAATGCTCTTCTCATTTACAAAAACTCTTTTTATACATCTTCCTATCCACATAAGTATAAACTTAGATCTGTTTATGTGCATATATATGTATCGAGGTGTGTATATATATACATTTATAAAGATTTTAGCAATTTATTTTCTAGAGGTTACCACTTCTAAAGGACAAGCTAATCTTCTCACAACATTTATAGGTTTCGATTGACCACTCATTTTAATAGCGAGCTTGCAGGAAAAAGATACCTGAATCATGCGTTTTGTAAACCAATCAACCTCAGTTCAGAATCTGGCTCTCCTTGGT